CCCCAAAACCCCAAAACCCCAAAACCCCAGGCTGCTAGGATTTGAAATGAAATTGATTATGTTTAAATTTAAATCTTAAAATTTAAACGTATAAGCAATAATCAACTCAAATCATCATGCCATTGAGACAACAAAGAAAAGCATAATAATAGAGCAAAGATATACTTGAAACAGGCATTATAGCTCTTAAAAATTACATTCTTATCAAAGGAAAGGTAAGCTACCATTTGAAATTAAAAAACATGTAATAGGAACACGATTTATGCAGAAGGATTCATTATAGTCAACCATTCTCCATTGTTACAACAAGCCAAGGCCAATAAATTTAGGTCATTGCACAAGCAAATACTTATTCAAATGAAATGACTGCTATTTATGAATCAGAAACTTTGACATAGAAATAGATTGATAAGGTAGTTCATGAAATAAACTCAATGTATGTTCATTAATGAAAAATCTAAATTTTTACTTAGGCTAAAGCAGTATTAAAGGGATCTTATATAAAAATTGAGTTTATCTGAAACCATTGGCTTCCAATTCAAAGTTTCATTTTTAATAAGCAACTAAATAGTTTCTAAGTTCATATCGATGGATCATAAGATTCTAATCAAAATAAATTGTCAACAAGCTCTTTTATGCCTCGGCAATAAAGAAAGTAAGGAACCTCTATTCTATTTTAATTGGATTTTAAATGTAATCTATAGTCAAGCTTAAAAACATTAAGAGTTTTGACATCAGATCAAACACTGATAAGAATAATGGCTGCGTTGACTAATATAGAATCATAATGCTCTTGCATAATGGAAAAGTATATTCTCTTACAACAAATCTCTTCAATGATGTAATTAATGCATTTCCGATTAATAATCGTTTTAGTTTAAGCAATTTGTAGAGGTTATGAGTCATCTCCTAAGTTAGCATGTGAAATTTTCTGATGCTCAGATACTGATGACTAAATCCAAGCTTATACTTTAGCGAATGTCTTATTAAATGGATCTGATGGGTGGACTCGCTGAGCATTTCAAAAAGCTTTACCTTGATTTCCACTCTAAAAAAGTCTCTTATGAACTATTAAAAGAATCTTAAAATAAATTTCTTGAAGAAATGAACTCTCGAAGATGTCCCTCGACAAATAATATTTGTATTGAAGATGGCTTCAACAATCTGGGAAACTCCTTCAATTCTTAGAAATCTAACAACAGCAATAATCAGCATGTTGCTAAAGTCAAGAGTTCTAAATTCAGGAAGGTGTCTCTAAATAAATAACTAAAAGAACTAGCTGCCTAGAAGTTGAAGCACGGTGGATCAAAAATTAATAAGGATAGCTAGCATTGCTATAACTATACCAACAATAACAATAAAGAAAATATCAATATTAAAAATCAGAGAAAGGGCAGTGATTCAAGAAAAAATTGTGAGAAGCTTTATTAGAAAATAGCTAAGTAAATAATAAATAAGACTAGCAGAAATTAGCTTGAATCAAGTTCTAATAGTTATAATGATAAAAGAGATGAATCCAGATAAGATTCTAAAAATCCTCATAAAAAACACATTATAATGGCTTAAAAGCTTAAACAGGCAAAGGAATAATCAAAATCTCCAAAAAACAGGCAAGTCGCCTCTTAACCTAGGGGTAAGAGTGTAGAATCTAAGTGTTAAACTTAAAGATAACTAAGGCTTGAAAAGACTAGCAATGGCAAGAGACAGCTTAAAAGAAAGCCTCTCTAAGAGATATCAAACATTGATGCTGGTAGTTTCTTCTAGCAGAACAGCACTCCAAGATTCAATAAAAACAACAGACTTTAGAATTATTTTAACAAAAATGATTTCTCTTCTCCACTTGACAAGGCTCCAAGTAAGAATAGAAGTAGTGGATCTAAATACATGGAGGAAGATTTCACCTTGAATGAGGGCAGAGGTATTGAAATTGAGTTCTATGATTGCAAAAATGATCAAAACTTCATTAGCCACGAGTATAGAAGTCCATTACAAGAACATGTTAAAGCACCTTCCGATTTCATGCTAAAGATACAAGACACTGAACCGTCGTTTGCTAAAAAACTAGAAATAAGATAGTCACATATCAATGGGGAATAATTCATTTCTAAGCAGAGGTCATTTGAAGAAAAGTTGACTGAAAAGCAAATAACTAAAACTGGAGATTAGAGAACTAAATCTACTGGTGAGTACGGATTGAAAGCGACATATTCACAAAAATCCCTTTTGGAATTTCAAGAGAAAATGAATCGCAACTTCAGAGCAGTAGATGAATCATCCTTGAACTTCAATTACTTGAATAGCAACGGTGGAAACACCCTAGATAAATTGAATATGAATAGTTGTAGTCTCAATCCAGATTCAAAAGACTTCTAGTACAACTTGATAAACGAGATGAATAACATCAAAAGAGAGTTAAAGGATACAAAGGCCTTATTAAACTCAACTCTTGCCTAGATGTCAAGATATCAGCACTTCGAGAACAATAAAGAAAACATCTATATTCCTCAGCATATTGATAAAGCGATCGAAAGAACTGACATAGTATTGAAAAATTAATTACAAAAAGGCATCCTTCAAGTTTCTCCATGTAAATTAAGAATGTCATCATGCTCCAAAGATAAGTAATCTAGGGTTGACAGTCAGTAGCATCAATTTGACTAGCAGAATTAATTAAGATAGTCAGCTTTTATCAAAAGTGTAAAGTAGAGAAGAAACGGTATCCAAGAAAAATTCTCCAAATTGCAAAACTTGGAACTCAAAAACATGTTTGAGTAGTTCATTTAGTAGAAATAGGCGTGAGATAATGAGAAGTTATAATTAAAATTGCTTAATTTAGTTGGTTTATATAACAAGAATATGATTTAATAGCTTAAATTTATTTATCTTAAGAGGTATACTTTATTATGGGGTTTTGGGGTTTTGGGGTTTTGGGG